ACTAGCAGGATCACCCAAAACCATCGGAAAACAGATATTTATATTCATAACAGTAGCAAAATTATAATTATGAAGTAGCAACGAAAATAATTTTATGATTGGGGGTCACCACATGAGGAACTGTATTAAAGGGTCACGGCATTAGAAAGGTTGAGAACCACTGTTTTATATGATCCATTTTTCCTAAGAGCATCCATTGAAGAGACTGTCTTTACCCCCATTGTATGTTCTTACCTCCTTTGTCATAGGTGAAGTGACCAAATGGGCTTGGGTTTATTTCTGGGCTCTCTTCTGTTCCATTGATCTATGTGTCTTTTTATGATAGTGCCATGCTATGCTATTTTGATATCAAATTATAGTACAGGCTATGGTAGTCAGTATATTATTAAAGAACTGTCCCTTTTCCTATAGGGTTGTAGTCTTAAGTTATGATCCCTGGAAGTATTTGTAGGATCTGCATAACCAAGTAATCATAACCAAGTAATCTAAAGTAAAAATATCACTTATTTGAATTTTTGAAATATTATGTGATAAATGATCTTGAGAAAACGAGGGACCAACATGACTTATAATTTCAGTGTTCTGATGGAGAAGACTTATACACTTTAACAACTGATAGCTCAATTTTGAAAATGAAAAGCATTTTAATAAACACTGCCTTTATAATTATTCAAAGTATACATATACATTTTTGGAGAGACATTCTACATAAAACTCTCTAGGTATTGGAGTCAAATATGCTATCTGATTATCAGTTCACTTCGATGTGGCATAGGATAATGAGCATTAATAATTTTTTCTTCTAAGGACAGGGCCTCTCCCCTACCCTTCCTATTGCAATATCTAATTTGTTAGATGATTTTAAAAAAAGATACAGGTTTTCCTTGATTAGTTTAATACATTGTCTTCATTTCATTTTTGGTGGCCTGAGCATCTTGAAGTGGCAGGTTAGTGATTTGCTTAGCTTTTCCTGAGAACATAAGTGGAATAGGAGACCAGTAATCAGGATACATTTTCTGACTTCGCTGAAAGGAATATGACTCATCTTGGTAAGGCATACAGGGATCTTTATTTCATAACATATGTTAGTCCCAACTGTTTCTGTACCCATTGCGATGATGACAAGCTTTGGAAAAAATGTTGTGAAAGCATATTTACTTGCATTCTTATTCACTTTATGAAACAGAATGGTCATGGAAATTAACACTGAGTGGACATTAACATTATACCATTGCTTAAATTACTATAATAATTAATGTATTGGCAGGAATTTACCTTGAACCTAGAAAGCTTTGGAGGTGAGCCAGTTTTGCATAACTAAAAGAGTGAGTTATTTTGAAACCGGATTCTATCTATATCAAACCGTCTTATGATTTATTAAGAACCTAGGGAATTTATGGTTTTCCTAATTAAAATAAGGTAGATAAGAAATAAAGGACTGTGCATTTGAACAATCATAAGGTAAAATTACTAAAGAGGCCCTTGAGGTACAATTTAAAGGATACATCTAGGATAATGGAATGAGGGATAAAGGTAATATTAATTGTCAGATTCACTTGTTTCTCCAGTTTGCAATGAAAGTCCTCATTTTATTGCACAAGATTTGGGTGAGCTAGAGAACACACAGCAAGAAATGGGCCAGCAGCAGGAAAAATAGAGCCCAGAAATAAAAATAAATAAAAGGTTTCCAAAGGCTCTTGATACCAGTGATTTTCCACTCCTGTTAGGATTTTGATTTCTTTCCAGAAGGATCTCAGCAGTGGCCACCTGCCAGGGGAGAACAATATTCAAGTTAGAGTGCCAGCTGCCGCTCACAGCTATCTTTATAGCGATTAGAAGTTCCTCAGATTTTTACATCCTCTGCTTATTCAGGAATCATCCCCACCCTTGAATTTTCCATGACTCACTGATTGAGGAGTACCTGAGCACATACATGTAGCAGGTGATCCTGTACAGTGAAGTCCTCACTTATCATCTGTAAGTGAAACAAAGTGTAGCAAAACCAGTCCTACCATAGGCTAATTGATATAAACAAGAGTTAAGTTCCTCAGGCATCCCACCAACATAAGAAAATGACTTTGAACAAAATGACATTATTCAAGGACCTGCTGTACTTGTCAAGCAACTGATAAGTCACAGTGTGGGTGGCACAAATGGCTATCCTGAGTAACCCCTCATAGTAGAATGTAACTATTTTAGATTCTGTGGGAGATGTTTTCAAATCAACAAAAATAGGTATAGCTGCTTCCAAAAGCCATTCTTTTCCTTCGCTTGTACCCAGCTCTGAAGTCACCTTGCTACCATTGTTCACATACCACACAAAATATCAGGAAAACCATCAACCAGCCCAGGCATTTCTGACCTGTCTCTGTTACCTGCCTGTACTTCCCTTACCATTTCCTACATGGCTCTGAAAAAAAACCTTTAGCTTGTTTGTTCAAAATAAAAAGTAGTATCCTTTATCATCTAAAGCAGTGACTCTGTTGGAATCACCTAGAAAGCTTTAAAACAGTCTGATGCTTGAGTTTAATCCCTGGAGATTGTAATTTAATTGGTTGGGGGAACAGCCTCTCAGCAATGGAATTTTTACAAACTCTTCAAGTGATTCTAGTCAGGGTTAAGAACTACTTATTTGAGTTGTACAAGTTTTAAATAGGAACAATATTGATTTATTTTGATGATTAACCATATTGCTCAATTTTTTGAACATTCATACTATAAGAGTTTATCATAAAATAAGGTGAATTTGCTATTGTTTTGCTTTGAAATACAGTGCTTCATAGATATGGAAATGACCACAAATAAAAATATAGGTAAAAAGATGAGATAAAGGATGAAATATATCAGTGATAATTATAGTTCATAACTGAATAATCGCTCTCATTTTAGTTATCTCATTTCTGAAATCAGAGATTAAACCACATAATGTCTAAATACCTTCTAGTCTCTTTCTCTGATCATATGACAAATATTATTTCATTTCTGGGAATACTGATTTCTTCATAGAGCTAGATGGAAGACATACATATTTAAACACTCTAGAAATACTGTATTTAAACAATATCAGCTCATTAAAAGGCCATGTCTTGGTAATAATTATCAGGTTATAGAATACAGGGCAAATGTATTTATTTTTTTTCATTCTCAACTTCTCTCCTGCCAAATTTTTGTGATAACTCATCCCAGTGAGCCTAAAAATGCCTTCTTTGGTCTGTAACTGAATGGCTAAATTACATTTATTAAAACACAAGAGATTCATTTTCCTAGGTTGAATTTTTTTTTAAGATTAATATGTAAAGGTTAAGTTAAATGTTTTCCCCAAAACCACAAATTATTGTCACTTTTTAAACATATTTAGTTTTTGCATAATATATATTACAGAAAATTCAGACTATACAGAAAAATCACAAAGAACAAAATAAGTTATTGATATTTCAACCACTGAAATATAACTTTTAACAGTTGGGCTAACTACTTATTTTCAGTTTACCAAATATGGATCATTTTTTTAAATAAAATTGTAATATATTATGGATGTAAGTAATAACCATTCCTCAATATTAGATGTTTAAGATGTAGACCACCATATTTTTAAGATAGAGTTACTATCATTTTGACTCACATAAAGGGAACGCTATTAAAACATGCTTTGAAAAGATTCAAGTCTGTTGAAAGACCCAGAAGTATTGCCAACATCTGATTGTTTATGCCCCTCTTCAGTGGGCTTTAGCCTTAACCTTCCTGTTCATTATCTGTCCACTAACATGGCTTGGTAATCTCGACTGTTCCAAGGATGAGATTCTGTGTGGCACTCTGGACTTTTCATAGCACCCAGCTAGCTCCTCAGTGGCCCCGTCCCTACCTACCAATAGGCAGGCTGTGTGCAGGTCCAGTGAAGTGGCTGCAGCATGACTTTACCTAAGCTCTCCCATAGGTGCCCCAGTCTTGCCTCATAACCCTGTATGTAATCAGCTAAGATGACCCCACATCTCATGATTTTGATCATGGAACAGGGGTACACAAAGAATACCATGACCATAATTAAAAAAGAAGGTAGTCCTCCATGACCATAATTAAAAAAGAAGGTAGTCCTCACCTTTCTTAGTGCTGGGAAATCTTTTATTAGTAAAATGAGCAGAAAAGCACGTGCACAACTTAATATATCAGTGTAATACATCAGTGTGACCTTCCTGCTATATATATATATCTACAACAGTTGCAAGTTGTACAATGCATCTCTTTTCATGCCAGGTATATCATGGTTGATTGACCTAAAGACCTGCCAGTTTTGAGAGAAGATTATGAAATATTTTTAGATAATTCATATTTCTACTCCATGCATTATCTAATTTATCCATCCTTTATATATATATATATATATATATATATATATATATATATATATATATATAAACATTTATTGTTTTTAAGAAGTCTGAAAATTCAGCAAGTTGCTTTTTTACCATCTATCCTATGTAATAGAAGGCTAATATGCAAATTGACTGGTTGTTGTGGAACAACTGGTTGCTATGATGCACACTACCAGGGGGCGCACTGCTCAGCCAGAAGCTGGGCTCACCAGCTGGCAAGTGCAGCAGTGGCAGGAGCCTCTCCTACCTCTGATGCAGCGCTAAAGATTTCCATCAGTTGGACATCCTGTGAGGGCTTCTGGACTGCAAGAGGGCACAGGCTGGGCTGAGGGACCACCCCCACCCCAAGTGCACAAATTTTGTGCACCAGGCCTCTGCTATTTTATAATTAAGATGTCTGAATCACACGTCATGCTTTAGTTCTTAACATCTGTGAACTAAGTTTTTTTAATCCCAATATAAAGACACATTGCTTGCTGACCATATATTTTTATAGTATTTATTAAAGATACTGAATATTATAGTGGGGTTTTTTGGGTTTGTTTGTTTTTTACTTGGTGCTAAACATGTTCTACTCTGGCTAAGACCAGAAGTAATAATTCTTTGCATTTTCTTTTCTCTGGTGTTTAGGGTGCTGGTTGCACAGCCCTGGTGGTAGCTGTAGTGGCAAGGAAGCTAGAACTTACCAAAGCAGAAAAGCACGTGCACAACTTCATGATGGATACTCAGCTGACAAAAAGAGTAAGTCGCCACTCTGATATCTGCAAAGGGAATGTTATTTTGGGTATTTTCAATGTTGGATAACATGCTTTTTATTTTGATCTCCAAAACCAAAACAACATAGCTTAGTCTTAGTACCAATTCCATATTTTCACATTTCCAGAATAGACTCTAACTTTAGGTCAGATAGGAAATAATTGGACAAGCTAGATATTTATTTCAGGATAAAAATATACCACATAAATCTTTAAAGTTGGCAGTATACACGAGACCAATATCAGATTGAACAGGAAGGAACACAGAGTCAATGTAATACAGAAATGTTATGGGTAGGTGATTCAACAAATATTTTACTGATCTTCCATAAGCCAGTCCCTGTTCTAAAGACTGGGGTTACAAAGACAAATAAGCAACAACCCTTAATGTTTAGGATTCCAAGTTGTGAGGGCAGATACAGATTCTTTCCACGACTTAAAGGCTATCAGAGAGATGTTGAAAATAGCATCTAGAGAGGAAATCAATTTCCAATTATAAAGACTCAAGGAAAACAGTAACTACATGTGGACAGTGTACTCACCCTTTGCCAGTCGCTGCTCTAAGTGTGGCATGTGTAAAAACTTGTTTCATCTTCACAATTTGATGAGGAAGTGCTGGTATTATGCCTGCTTTTAAAGATGGAAGCCAAGATTCAGAGAAGTTTGGTAACTTACATCAAGGAGGAAAGTCATATAAAAAGGAAAATGATTTTTATCACACTACATTTTTAGCCTCCCTTACAGACACTTGAAACACCAAGGTCAAAAATAGCTAAAACTTACTTTATATCAGTGTCATCTTGCTATATAACCACTTCCCAAAGTAGAATTCAGTCAGGTTGTAATTAAAATAACAAAATATATGATCATTTGGTAACTTCATTCATAAAAGGATCAATAGAGATTTCAAGCATTTTCAGAGCTTATGCTCACTTTTGACTTTGGTTCTGTGTATAAAAGTAATCATGTTTAATTTAGTAAAATAATTCCTAATAAGTCAGTCACTTTAATGCATATTTTATTTGTTTGGGTATTTATGAAATGGAAAGATAAATTCCAGTTACCCTGATAAATTCTGCCTTACCTATCAGATACTACTGTGAGACTTCATTGCAGTTAGAAAGTCCACATAAATTCTAGATGTCATGCTTTCATACTGGATTTACTACTCTACACAATTTTCGCTCAAATCCTGAATTCATTCTCCAAACTAATTTCTAAATGTTATAGAAAAGCACATGGAGAGTAGATGGAAAAGTAAATGAGCTGAATGGAGAGTTAGGTTCTTGTCATTTTCTTGTCATTTTCAAAGATATACCATACTGAGGAATGAAAACACACACATTAGATTATTGTGTGTCCACACCTAATCTAAAATTGTAGCAGATGTTTTATATATCTCATCATGTACTTGTTTGGATAAGTTCTGTACTGTGCAGTTTGTGTTTGAGACAGAAGTTGTACAATATCAAGAGAATCCTTCCATAAAGTGCTAGCATAGTCCAAATAATTGTGCCATGATATTATGTTCCTTCACAGGAATTAAGTTAATGCCACACTTGCAATACTAGGCAGAACAATATCTTAAAACACCATATGTAAGTATTTTCAACAGTGAAGAAAAAAATGTGACATAATCACAAATAAGAAAGCCAGCTGTCATGCTGAGGCAGATTTCCCCCTCGTTCACAAGCAGGCATTTAGTTTTATCTTAAAGAAAATAAGCAACTCCCTTAAATTTACTTTGGGATATTGATGCTCCATATCCCATATTATTGAAGCATTTTAGAAAAGACAAAGGCTTTGATTTTTAAAACCTACAGTGTAACATTATAGAATTTTGTGACGTTCAGAGATCTTCCCATTCCAGGTTGGCTTTTTAATTGTTATTTCAGCTGTATTGTCCTATAGGACTAAATACTACCTTTCCTTGAAGGACTTTGTGTATTGTTGGGTGTTTAGCAGCATTTTGTCCTCTGCACACTAGCTGCCAGCAGAAATATCCCCACACATTTGTGACAACCCAAACTGCCTTTAGACATTTCCCAATGTCCCCTAACGGTACAAAATTGCAGCAGTGAGAATCATTGCTTTAGCTTGTTATTGCCCAGGGATTCAGAGACTGAGATAATTCCTTTTAACAGATAATCTTTAAATCCACTGAATTTATCTATTAGTCCCAGGAAGGAGATTACAATATTCATTTAACAAAAAATATACTGCGTACCTACCATAGTTAGGGTTCTGTATTAACTGTTGAGGATAGACAGCTGAAATATCATATTCCAGGAGACAGAGTGTTATGCTTTTATAGTATTCTTTTAAGCAAATCAGATGAAGGTTCTGTTTTTGTTTTTTTTTTCCCCCTCCGGCCAAAAAAAATGCACTTGTGTTCTTTCTCATGAGTCCCCTAAAGTTCAGTTAAATTCTTAGATACACTCCCTATTGGTAATTTTCTGTTATGAGTCAGATTGTTTATAAGAAATACTGTTCTAGTTTCAAATTCTCCACGGTGCTTCATTAATTCTGTTTATCTCATTCCCACTTAAAAGGGTAGCTACTCTACATATTTCTGTGGACCAGTCTCTTATAGGTTTGAGAAGACTTTCCATCCAGCAGGCTTGGCTTTTATAGGCAACATGTCGCTAAGTACAGGTACAGATGTTTGGCCTTAGAACCAAAAGTAAATTTCTAGCTTAGGATACTGTACTATTGATAATATTATAGTCAATACAATATTTGAAAACAGTTATTTTATACAAAGTCATCAACTTAATGAGTGTTATTTATTTGAAACTTGACTTCATTTATTTGTGGAATGTCTAAATGGGCCCATTTAGAATTTTTAACTTTTTAAATAAAAAGTCTAAAATACTTAATGATCATTAATGAATGACTCCTGGGGCATAATCAAGAGTAGACAAGGCTTTATAAAACTTATAGAGTTGCTAAAATGAAAGATTAGACATATAAAATTCGACTATCCCCTGAAAACACTACATAGGAGAGATCATATTCTCTGATGGCCAACAGAGGTAACGGGCACAGACATTCTGAAGTCAGAATATGTCTGTAAAGGATACGCAATCTGCATATTAAAAGATAGGTTATTCCTCCAAGCAGAAATGCCCTTTCCAAATCTTGCATTGTATTGTATGTCTTACCTGAACAATTACATTTCTATAAAAATGATTCACCTGAACAATTACATTTCTATAAAAATGATTCACATAAATTTTAGAGGAACAATCTTATTCAGAATTTTTTTGTTTGACTACCTCAACCATATAAAATACTGTGTTTGAAAGTAGGACACGCTATTCATTGGGCAGCAGCATGAAGGAATGTTTTATGTAAGTCCAAAAATTTACATGACACTGATTTAGAAGTGGCCTATAGGTACATGTGCACAGAATAATCTTAGAGTTCAGCTCTCTAATCTTTTCATTTTGGAAAGAACAAATTTTTAAATAGCTGGATGTACCACAAAGGATAATTATACATATTAATGTCTACTTGGGATGTTTCTAATCCTATAAAGAATTCTCAATAAGATCCATAATAAGAACACTATTATGTGGTTATGTATTTTTGTTTCTTGTGTCTCTCAACATGGGAACAGAAATTCTAGAGGTTTACTCTATGTGGCTCTTACATTGTCCTTAGCTACATAGCCCAGTGGCTTGAAACACATGATGAATTGATCCCTTGACCTTGCCCTGTTCCACAGTCACATTATTCACCCACCCTTTCCTGGTCCATAGGAGAACTCAGTGGGCAAGGTGAGAGCATGTGACATCCCAGTGCACAGGCTCAGTAGCATTGCCTGTATGTGTCCCAGGCATCACCCTCAGCATAGGTGGCAGCATTTTACTTAGTTTCCAGATTGAGAAGCAAGATACTCTCTTACCTGGTTGGGGTGGGAAGAGATTAAGAAGTACAGATTTCTGGTAATAAAAACAGTCATGGGGATGTACAGCATAGGAAATGTAACCAGAAACATTGTAATAATTGTATTTGGTGGCAGGTACTAGACTTATTGGGGTGATCACTTTATAAAATATAGAAATGTCTAAACACTGTGTTGTACACCTCAAACTAATGTTATATGTCAGCTGTAATTGGAAAGTTTTAAAAAAAAATGGTTCTTTAAAAAACAACTGCCCTCCTCAAATCAGAAATTATGTCCCTTTCCCTTACATTTGGGAGGAGTGGAAATACTGTACTTCTGCCTCAGAAGGGAGAGGAAGAGGAAGAAAAAGCAATATATGTTGAAAAAAAGTCACAGTAATATAAAGGAAAACTATAAACAAAGTACTCTTTTAAACAGTGCTCTAATTACATGTGTCATTTACAGTTGAACAAAGCAAATTGTCAGTTAAAAGTATCAGCATTAAGTGCTTTTTGTGGTTGATAAAGTATTGTTACACTTTATGGCTTTAATATTTTATAATTACCTATAAGTCAGCAATATAACAGTTCATATCCTTTATACCCATGAAAGTGGGTTTAAGGCATCTTGGGAGGTAGATTACTTTTAGTAGTATAAATTATTTTTAGTGCCTTTATTTTCTCAAATTATTATTAAGCTATCTGATTATTAATTGACCTCTCAGTATTTCTGATAAAAGATTTGAATTGGAGTTGAGCATTAGACAGTACAAATGTTCTTTTTCCCTTTTCCCTGTGTGTGTAGAGGGGGAATGAGAGAGGAGGCAGAGTCCTTTCCTATTCAGAACGAATCCTCCTCTCTCCTTATTTTTTGAAATATAGGAAATAAGTTAGATGTCATAGTGCTGTTGGCCCATTAAGTGACACTAAATTTCTGAGGTATATTTGTAAATTTCTAATATGAACTATCATGGTATCTAGCATGTGAGGGAGACTCAATAAAGGGATCAGTGCATTTCATAAAATGGAAATACACTGACCCCTTTAGATTATGGAGCTCTTCTCTAACCTGAACAACCTTCTTTCCAAGAGGATCCTTTGGCTGATAAAGAATCATCTCCTTCATGATCAGAAGTGTTTATGATGCAAATTATTTAACCCTGGAGACATTTATTTCATACCATCTCTAGGGCCAACGCACTGAGCTAGGGAGACACAAAGATTCATGACACAGGCCCTGCCCTCCAAGCATCTGGGAGAAGGAGTAAGTCAGGTTCCCAACCTTTTTTTGGCCATGCCCCACCTAAGCGTCTCTAAAATCCTGATGCCACCCCCCCACCATGACATATAATTCTTATTATTCAAAAAGTGAACTCCTATTCACATGGAGGAAGCCTAAAAGGCCCTTAACTTGGTCTAAAGAAGCTTCCAAAGAACATAGCATCCATGAAGTAGAAAAATAAGAGAATGAAAGGACAGTTGAAGTACTAAGGAAGGAATTGTTTTAAAAAAATAATATGAAGTGATATGAAAAAAAATAGCAAAGTTTCAAAACATACTAGAGAACTGAAATGAACCTGTAAAACATGTTCATTGCTTTTAAAAACCTGTAAAACACTGAAGTGCTTTCCACCTGGTCATCTCCCTGTCCACTGTTCCCTTTCAACCCTACAAGGGACTGGAAAAAACTACTAGGAGCACACCTGACCATGAAGCAAAGGACACGTCTTTCTATTTGTTGACATACTTTTCAAAAATAGCAGCCACAAAACAGTATCAGTTAAATTTGATGCTTTGAGAGGTTAATTCCTATGTTTGAAAACCTATTAGAGAATTATAAAAGGGGATGTTTCAACATGAATGCATACATATGTATATTTAACAGGTTTTTAAAAGCAACTGTAGGGATTTTACTTTCAAATGAGAAGTCATTTTCAGTTTCAGCCTGTCAGCTAAGATGAGTGAACACAAATACACAACATAAGGCCTCAGGCATCACTCTCCAAATTGAAGTCAACTTATACTGCATCTAGCTCCTTACCTCTGAAAAGGTCACATGAGGGTCAGATGAGAAAGCCTTCTGAAAGGTGATTCTTATCTCTGAGGAAGAGAACTGTGTTTCCATAAGAACAAAGAGCCAAGAATTACCTGGAACACCTTTGAATGCTTCTGGGGATGGTGGTGATTTCCCTCTTAGTGTCACTCGCTGTTCTGTTGGTTTCCGGCAAAGGCTGATGCATGTCCAGAGGATGTGACCAAAGCCACTCCTACAAGCAGTTTTAGGAAACCAGTCATTTTCTTACAATCGGTTTCTAGGGATACAGTTTCACTCAAAAACAAAACTTTTCAGCACCATGAAAAAGGGCGCTTTCCTGGCTAACGTGAAAAAATAAACATATGGACTTGGGCCCATAGTCTTAGTGTAAGGCTAAGGTTCTTTCTGATTGTAAATGTAAGGGCCAAAAAGGACTTGGCTAATATTTCTCTTGAAGCTCACATAATGATGAGGAAACAAAAGTCGTACAAGGTTGGCTAGCCCCCTTGACTGGAATTGCTTAGTAGAAAGACCAGAATGTACTCCATCCAGCTCACTGTTCTGTCTTCCCCACCACAAGGCCATCCTTAAAGTGTCTGCCTCCACCCAGTCCCTCGCTAGCCGGCAGCTCTCCCTGTGAACGTCTTTATGCCTCACTCACAAGGCTGTTCTGAGAGCAGATGATTGACAGCAGGAAGCCCACATGAAGGCGCTGGGTCTTCAGGTGGAGCATCTCTGGGAAGTATTCACACCTTCCATCAGATCTCGGCAGTGTTACTGAAATGCTTTCACCCTTAGGCTTATCCCATTCATTTGAAACGCAGTATATTTCAACTACCAACAAAATCATGACAACATAGACAGCCTGTCCATTAATTGAGTGGGCTTACAAGCATAGTTTGCTAAGACCCTCTAGGAGCCAGGAGACCATCAGCAGTGGAAATGTGCCCTCCTTCCTATAGTGCGCAGCCAGCCATGCCACACAGGCTCACAAAGGCAAAATTAATCTTGGCCTTCTGGCATTTTGCCTTTCTCCAGGGAAATGAAGACACCAAGAGAACAATTGCAATACAAGGCAGAGAAATAAACACCTCTTGTGTTTTTTTGGTTTTTTTTTTTTAAGTGGTTGAATGCAAAGAAAGTCCCTGATAGGGTAGAGTTTGGCCTGGGAAGATATCAGTAGCTCCCTAATATTTAATTATTGTTCTCACTCAGAAACTGGTACTTTTTAAAACTTTTGGACCCATGCACATTTGGTTTTTTTTTTTTTTAAACGTTTAGATGTACGTAAAAAAGAATTTTTGAGACATAGTTACTACACAGAGGTAGAACTTACCACCATCATTGGGGTGAAGAATCTGACCCCCAGCCACGTTGCAAAGGATTCTGCTTTGGAATTTATCAACTGCTTTTTTATTTTCCTAACAGGTGAAAAACGCAGCTGCCAATGTACTCAGGGAAACATGGCTAATTTACAAAAATACAAAGCTCGTAAAAAAGATAGATCATGCAAAAGTAAGAAAACATCAACGAAAATTCTTGCAAGCTATTCATCAGTAAGTACCAGTCTTCACTTTCCTCCTGCTTTTGTGTGTCTAGGTTTTAATTCTAGCGCTTCGTTATCCTCTCATGAGGGAGGAAAGAAAACGTCAGACTTGTTCCTAGAGACGGTATTTGGCAACTTAATAATTTCATAAATGAAATCCTGAGCAAAGATGTCAGTTCTAGTGTGATTAAAAATCATTTATTATTGGGAGACTAGTCATTTAATATATATAGTAACTGAATGTCTTCAGTTTCTTTAGAAGCAATAATTTCTGTTAAAATTGTATTTCTTAATTTAACTTATTCATATGGTTTGGTCTAACATGCTTAGTTTGTATTTACTGCAAAATCTTGAAAAAAATTAACATTTTATTATCTGGATTTTTTTAATACTCTGCCAAGCATCTTTATATGAAGGTAGTACTATAGTTGATTCACTACTTTGATTTTTAAATGAGTTTTTAATGAGGGTGTGGGGGGGTTTTCTCTGTGCTACGTGGTCATTGTAGATTTTATAGTTCCTGTAGACCATGTGCTCTTTATCATTGTCCTGACTTTATTCAGGCCACCAGATTTCAAGTCATTCATACCATTTCATTGATACATTATGTCACTATCACAGACTTTAAAGCACAGATTTATATCTAGTGGGTCTCAGTGATAATCTGAAAGCACCAGGTCTTTCTCCCCCAGGCCGGCAGCATCCTTACCGTAAGTACATTCACGTGGGTGTCCATTATGATGCTCCACGGACTTGCTCTTAATGCCATTCCCAAATGGGGAAGAGCACACACGGTTACATTTGTGGGGCAGTAAAGTGGCTGTCCTCATGCAACCTCCTGGGATAGTTATAGAAAGGTGGGGAAATACTAGGTCTCTTGACTATTTAGTGAAATGTCTTTGAGATCTAACTAGCACAGTGGAGGAAAAATCTGAGTCTGGAGTTCTCATTTTCTATATTTAATTTGTCTTATATTTCACTAACATTCTGTGAGAAATCATTAAGCATTCATATTACCTGTCCAACCAACTTCTCCTTTTAACTATTAATAAGTATCCCTGAAAATGTGGACTATGTATATAATTATGGTCATATATGAACTATATTGAACTGGCAGCTTTCTTAATGAAAAGAGTTCATGTACTTTGTGACCTAAACTAGAGGGAGCCTGCACACATGGTGGAGTAGCTGACCCTCTGTGCTGGTCTCTCACACTCTTTTCCTCGCTGCAACCAACACCAAAGGGACATCATTCCTCCTTTAGCTCTGTGACTCGACTAGATACAGACTATGCTATTTACCCAGTAAAGCTAGTATTAAAGATAATACTCCTCTAACATCTGGGAAAGAGTAAAAGGGAAGAGCAAGAGAGGAACAGTGTTATTTGATGTGACTCCCAAGAGGGAGTAGCTTCCTGGAGCTCACAGCTGTCTAAGACCAGGTCCCACCACCTAAGAGCACTTGCCTAGACATCTCCATTCCCTGAAGCTTGGAGCTAAGAGAACGAGTCCCCTGACGGACGCTGAGCCGTCACCTCTGCTCTCATCAGGCCTTTCATTCTTTCTGAGGACAAGGGTCACCCAACACAACTCTCCTACACCCCCAGCCATGTAACACAGTAACCCCAACATTCACACAAGGGTCACTCATAGTAGGCTGTGGAGAAATCACTCTCTGCACTCTTAATTTTTGAAGACTCACACACACTAATATATATTCAATATATTAAAAACTCACCTGTGTGGGAGTGAGATGCCATGGAAGTGGGCGAGTTCAGTCCCTGTACGTGTCCAGCAGCCACACATCCCCTTTCCTCCAGGATTGTATTTGTGTCCATTTCTATCACTGTGACCTGCTAAATGTATAATTAAATGTGATTTGCCTTTAATGCCTTGGATAAATTTTCATATTCTTTTTAAAATGCTTTGACAGTTTTTTGTTTTTTGTTTTTGTAATATAACTCTATAGCCATGTGTAAATGGTAGGTATTTATGTTGTCACAAAGCTCTTAAGTTTGAATATTCACACTCAAAAATTTGGGGGACTATTTAAGGGTATTCACTATACAACCTTTTCAACTTTGCTATAGGTTTGAAATTTTTCATAATCAAATGTTAGGGAAAATATCTTTCAGTGAACTAAGTTTAAAAACTGTCCCTAAGCTGTTGGGGCATTGACCTGATCATAAGCATTTCGTGGCTCCCTCAGCGTTCTTCTTTTGGATAGACTAATAGAGGAGAAAAACACATTCCTCTGCTTCTTGCAGACATTTCTTACTCTGTTTCTTCCGTAGCAGTGTATATTTCTAAAACAGATGTGTTTCAAGCAACTCAAAACTGTTCTGAATTGTTTTATAAATTAGTCTTTGGGTGATTGGGTTTCCTTTGGGGTGGGAGGGACCTTGTACTTTGTGAGAAAGTGCACCTGAGAATTTATGCGGGCTGGGTTTGGCTAGTTTATTCTAACCATGCACTAACTTTCATTTTAAGTTAGTGAAGTCACAAAGGAAAGCACACAGGGCTCGATTCCTCAGGGCAAGGCCTTTATTGCCCACTGTTCACACCCAGTGAGACTGTCAGCCTTGTGTGTCAGCACTGGGTGAAGCCAGTTGAGGAAAAATGGACAAATTCATTTGCTAGAGCTCTCCTGGCCTCTCCTATTCTCTGATGTGTCCTGAGAGCTTTGTCAATAAGCACTCTCTCCCCCCTTCTGCGAGCCCCCCTCTATTTCAGATCTTTCTCTTTTCCAAACTTCATAGCCTTTCTCCCGGACACGTGCCCTCTCTAGTCTCGGATGGAAGCCAAACTCTGTGGGCTGTGTCCTCTTCTCAGTAACTTATGTTTTTGTGGACAGTCACTCAGTGCCATGAAGCAGTCTGTTTCTATAACATTTCACCCTTTTTCTGGTAGCAGCTTTAACTTTAAAGTTTATCATTCTTCTGTCTCACCTCTATAGACACATCAATCAGTATAACTTGTCTCAGAGCCAAGAAACTCAACCAACATGGTTTTTATAACAGTGTTGCATTACTTACCTTTCAGAAAGCCAGGCTTCTAGACAGCCCCACCTCAGAAAAGATATACCCCTTCAAAACAACAACAACAACAACAAAACAACATCATTATAATCCTATTATTTAGAACATTATCCTTTTAACCCTGTGCATTCATATTAGGCAAAAGTGTTTCCTATGTTTACTTAAATATTCTGTCTCAAAGAGGCCAAGATGTTTTAAGTTCTTCCTTCTGAACTCTGGTTCTGGAGGAAACTATGGGCTTTCGGGTGGGGGAAGAATAGCAGCGACGAAGAGGGATGATGATATATTGAACAGTGTTTCTCTTTGATCAATATGCCAAAGTCCTACAGAATCTTAACAGGATCTTCCAGCCAATGAATCGAGCCCCTTGTGCACCACTGAACACCACACTGTGTTATTTGGTTCCAGAGTATTTCACAGTTTCTTTTCTTTTGTTTTGTCTTTTTATTTCAACAAAATGAAAATAGAGCTCGGAAGTAAGTTGTGTGAGCCGCTCCTTCAACATTTGCAGACTTCTCTACCGGCTGCATGCACCCAAGCGGATCCTTTATTTGTGAATTTTAGTAGTCTGATTGCTGCTATGGAAATGTGTTCCAAAATCATGATATTTTCCCGTGATAAGTGAAGTTCACAAGGAAGAAATCAACATATGTTTCTTATTCTTTTTGGGGGGGAGAAAAATGTAAAATACACATCTGCGTGTTATGATACCTTTTATTCTGGCAGCTGCAGCTTACGTAGGCTTTTCCTACCAGTTCTACATCACAGGCAGTCTAAGCAGCAACAAAATGAGATGCTTTAAGTTCAGGGAGCAGCGATAGGGCTACTCTAGGTCAGCATTCCAGATTAGTAGAAAATAAAATGGGCAAAATTCTACTGTCAGAAACATAATCTAGTAACCCAGGAGAAGAAAATTAGGCTCCGTTGATTGGGATATGATGCACTCACCTCAGCCAAGGGACCAGCTCTGGACCCTCCTTCAGACTTGCTGAGTCCAGCACTTCCTCTGCATTTATAAGTTGCTAGAGATTTCTGGTCTGGTGACCTCAAACTTCAGGCATTCTGTCCGAACTATACTATCACTTAACTTTGAAAAGAAAGCTTGATATAAATCCCTGTCATAAATAGATAAGAAACATATCCTTCCCAGCAAAGAGAGGCAAAAGCAATATCAATTGACAATTAAACACTGGTACTGAATTCTACCCACAGGCTGTTATCTGTAGAAACGCCCTGAGCTGAGAACGATAAAAACAGTATAGGGCTGGCCTAAGACCTTTTTCTTATAACAATCAGGAATTAGAAAAGAATTAAAGGGAATTACTTTTTCTCCATCTGTCTTAGTATTGTTTAATGTCTTATTTGAGCATCACTTAGTCATCTAGAGTACCTCTTGGTAAAAATCCAGCTCTTTGGAGACATAATAACCTAGCCCACTTTATTTCATACACGAAGAAATTGATGGTCAATTTAGGGCCAGGGAAAGGATGGAATCCATGTCTGACATTGTGGTTCTCTCTGCTACATTTCTCTATAGTAAGTCACATATTTAAGGTTTGTGTGGTGTTTTGTTTTTTTTCTAAGGGGGGATTGTTTTTGGTTTTGTCTTGTTTTTTAAAAGGCAGACATCAAGACTTTGAAATCCTTGTAAACACTTAAGGAAACATTTCTCAACAATATATTACATTTAAATCTCTATGTTTGTAAACCTCTTTTAGACTAGGACATATTCCATCTTTACAATAGCATGAAAAGGAGCTGTTCTTATAAACAGAGCCACAATGACAAGTTATAACCTTAAACTGTTTTAGATTGTTAAAGAGCATGATGTAGGCAGGTGTCAGTTAAATTCTTCCTGGCAGAAGGAACTATATCTTCCCTGTAGAGCAGATTTGGTGGCATATTGGATACCCTAGTTTCAGAACAAAATCACTGAGCATTGTGAACATTTGTTACAAAAATCTCCCTGGCAGTAAAATCTTGCCCTGTGAATATTTTTTTTCTTCTATGTAATTACTTTTAAATTAATTATGGAAATAATAAAAAGTATTCTCTCTAGCATTGCCACTACACTTTGTAAAGTGATTCATAAGCAAAGTATAATAAGGTTAGCATAGATATATTTTTTATTAGGTGGTTCAGAGAGACCTGCTTCTCTTTTGAAGCAAGACTGAATTGTTTATTGGCTTAAACAAAACAGCATTTTTTTTGTTGGAAAATCCTAATTTCTTGGTGCCATAGTAAAGAATGAATTAAATATTTGTTAAAACATTACAATAAATTAAGGAATAGTTCTCATTCAGAAATATTTTTTAACAGTGGCTTTTTAACTATCAGATATATGCAATGGTATTTAGAAGTATCTAAAAGTAGCTTTATAAGTAACGATCCCATCTGTCAGACACTTTAATTGTCCTCTGACTTTTATGTACAATAAAAAGCAAGGGAAATTCTCCCAAGAATATGGTCTGGCTTCTCTTCAAGTTCAATGGCAGTTTGAGATAAAAATCAAGTGAAGAATAAGAGAATTATGTGTTTTGAGTTATCTTGCTGCTGGTTGAATAAAAGTTGAGTTTTTGCTAATAAGAATCTCACTTATCACTGTGTTTCATCAGGCTCAACTACCTAACCCAATCCATTTCAGACTAAACAGGGCTAACACCTGTATCTAGTCACATAGGCATAGGAAGGTGCTCACTGCTCCAACAGTGATGCAATTCCAGTTGCTTTGCATATTTCTTCCTATGTCTATTTGTCACGATACTGGGGCTTTAAGGAATGTTTTGGCTTTTCTCATATGGTTTATTCCTTATGAGCCTTTTTAATTCAATGTTAACTACCTGGTGAACAGTTGTCCTATGGACACCTCATCCCTTACTCTCTCTCCTTTCCTTTTTGCGGTGTTGGGGAAGCATGCTTCTCATTGTAGCAGATACATAACCAGTTTGGACTTTACCCCAAATATTTAAGGCATTATCCATGCAGTTATTGCCTTTGTCAATTTTGTGCATGCTCTTTGGAAGACATATGATGGCCATAGAAAGAAAGAAACATTTCTGACTTCATATTCTGTCTTTTAGATTAAGAAGTGTAAAAATGGAGCAGAGGAAACTGAATGACCAAGCAAATACCTTGGTGGACCTGGCAAAGGTAAGCTGGGGTGTCAACCCTCATGATTGCATCTGTTGGAATTAACCAGGGCACAATAATTAATAATGCTGACACAGGGGGCCACCCTAAATTTATTTAATAAGTTAGCCAACCAACTGCCCAAAAATGATGGTCCAACTTAGAATTTTTAAAAAATTATTTTACTTAATATGGTTTTTTTCCTGCCTGTATAAATTATTCAACTGCATTCTAAAAGCTTTTCTACTTGCAGTGATTTGGACCAACATTAAGAAACATAAGTGGAATAGGAGACAATACCTTGGGGATCATTATTTGTAGTTCAGTTTCATCCCTATGAGAATAAAACTACATCTTGGGTTTAACTATGAGGCTAAGTAGAACTCAACAATAAACATTTTTTTCTATTTTTTAAATTAAATTATTATCTGTGTACATATTTTAACATTGCCAACCCTCCCATACATACCTCCCTCCCCAGAGTTTTATGTCCATTGGTTGTACTTATATGCATGTATACAAGTCCTTCGGTTGATCTATTATCTCCCCCAGGTCTCCCTACCCTACTTGCTGTGATTTGACAGTCTGCTTGTTGCTTTACTGTCTCTATATCTATCTTTTGGTTCATCAGTTTATAATATTCTTTATTATCCATAAATGAGTGAGGTCAATCAACAATAAACATTTTTAAATGTATTTTAAGCAAAATCAGAAGAATGTAGATTTAAATTAAAATACCAGAAATTATATCTTAAAATGAAAGTTGTCTTTCAAAAAAAAAAGGGTATCACTTTTTTATAATTACGATTCTTTCTCCATTTCATAATTTAAAAATTAATAATTCCCAAATTCTTCTGACACATTTATAAGCTGTATCTGGTTGATTTTTGCTTGTTCTTCCAAGTAAACTCCACTTTTAAATATATTTGTCACAACATTGCATTTTCTTGGACTAATTCTAAAGATGGGATTAGTACAGCATTTATGTGTGTTCAGCCTTTTAATACAAATGCTTTAAAAGATACAACTCTCAATTGGACCTGTATGTTCAATTGTTTGATAAATTAGCTGTGTCATTTGTAAAGCCTCAAGTATAGTCTATAAAATCCACACATACTATCTCTGGTATCATGAAATAATACATCTAAAATATATTCACTTTAATGTGTATCAGTAACACATAAGATGTAAATGTTGAAGATGAATAGTTGATATCTCATAAATAGAATATAAGTATTTAATGACTCACCTCTGGGAGAATATATAATGTGCATTTAAGCTGGGAAGCACAGATATGAGGCTCGGAAACATCCTTGATTAATATATACACATGACTTCTGCTTGGACTTCATGAGCAAAGATGAGGCAAGCTCTTTCATCACTCCTATGTCAAATGATAAAAGAAATTAGGCGTTTTTATGAAAAAAAATAAAACAGACCACTTGGAAATAATATATATGTTAATATTATGATATATATGATATATAATTTTACTTATGATATAAATTTGTTATATATAATAGCTATATAATTTTACTTTATATCTATGAGAAAGATACTGATTCTAATTAATTCTTTGGTGCCATGCTTATTATTATGACTGCAGCATTGTCTATGCCACAAGGGTTTAATATGTTCTGAATGAATGGATATTGCTCACATAGTCTCAATACGACATAGTAAACATAAAGTCAATGCGTTTTGTCTCCATGGCCAAACTCAAACTAGCTGCCTGTGTTCTGAATAGTAACTTCCTTATATAATCAGTCCATTGATCATCATTAGGACAATGTTGCACAGGCTGATTCAGCAGGAAAAGAACACATTTTGCAAAGGAAAAGTAGGTAAAAGGAGGAGGCCCGGAGAAAGGGAACTGAAACTTGGGAAGAAAACTGCATGGCCCTAAGGCTTACATCTCCCGTCTCCCCTTCTGGCCACCCTCTCCCCTCTCTCCTCTATGCCAGGGATGCTACCAATCAAAGTTAGAGACTTTGATTAGGGATGGTAGCATCCCTAGAGCCTCTGGGATACTTCTGGAAATATAACTGGGAGTCGGAGTCATGAACAGCCTCTCACCAAGACAATCAATTGCAAAACTCACTAGGATACCAAAAACATCTTTCATTTCAAACTACTTACCATCTGATTAAGCCATAGCCAAAAAGGTAGCCTGGTAATTTCAGTATCGCCAACTTTTAGTCTCTAGATTATCTGTAAAAATGTTCCTTAACCCACAGAGAGCCAAAATTTGAACCATGGGACAGCAAAAGATATTCAGAAGTTTTTTTTTTTTTTTTTACAGCTTTAAGTTCTTAAATTACACAATCAAATCAGTTTTGTCCTAAACTTCATTTCCCACCCTTAGAATTTGTGCTACTTCCCAATACTATCCATACTATCGTTTTTCTAAAATCTATTTTAAAAAATTAGCCTTGCCCTAATTACTATTACATATTACAAAATGAGTGTGGTGCACTAACATTTGTATAATAATTAAAATATAAATATTAAATCAAAACACGTTTGTCTATTTGTATACTAGAAATCATTGGGCATACCACCTACAGTAGATGCACAGTACTTTCTGCAGCTGGATCTAACTAATGCCAAAGATAGTACAATTCTAAGTCCTGGCCTCGATCACACACATACCCTGGAATTTTCTTGGCAAGATAAAGTGTCCAGTTAGCTGACGCCCCACTGCTATTGCACTGATTGTTCCCCAAAGTACACCAGCCCTCAAGCTCTGAGAATTGACCGATTCTTCCAGGACCCATGTAATTAAGACCTAGTTCTTTGATTTTTTCTATTCCTCTCAATCCCGTTTTCCAGACCCAGAATATCATGTATGACATGATTTCGGACTTAAATGAAAGGAGTGAAGACTTTGAGAAGAGGATTGTTACCCTGGAAACAAAGTTAGAGACTTTGATTGGTAGCATCCACGCCCTTCCTGGGCTCATCAGCCAGACCATCAGACAGCAGCAGAGAGACTTCATTGAGGCTCAGGTGGAGAACTACGACAAGCACGTCGCCTACAACGCCGAGCGGTCCGGGTCCTCGTCCAGGCGGCGGCGGTCCTCCTCCACAGCGCCACCAACTTCATCCGAGAGTAGCTAGGAGAGAATCAGTTACCCACAAACTAAGACTTTTTGCCATCATATGGTCAATATTTTAGCTTTTATTGTAAAGCCCCTATGGTTCTAATCAGTGTTATCCGGGTTCTGATGTCAGAATCCTGGGAACCTGAACACTAAGTTTTAGGCCAAAATGAGTGAAAACTCTTTTTTTTTTTTTTCTTTCAGATGCACAGGGAATGCACCTATTATTGCTATATAGATTGTTCCTCCTGTAATTTCACTAACTTTTTATTCATGCACTTCAAACAAACTTTACTACTACATTATATGATATATAATAAAAAAAAAGTTAATTTCTGCACATACTGGTTTGGTCGATTGATATTTCTAAAGATTCATGTCTTTCCTTATTCAGGTAAAATGACTGATTATTGCCTGATACATGTTGATGATTTTGATTTCCAGAAGTTTGGCAGGTTGAAGAAAAACTTTCGATTATTATATACCCTATTTACTAGGATGTTCCATCATTACGAAATATTATAGTCACACTCATTTGACCCAGCCCAGTTTACTATTTGAGTTTATAGCCTCTAATTTGGTTTCCAAATTATGTGGAAAATGAGGTGGTTCTATCAAAACATAAAAATAAGGAGGTACAAATGTTTTCAATGATTATTTCATTCCAAGTTTACAAAAAATAAATTTAACTTGAAGAAATTATCAGGGTACATCATTGTCTGTGAAGTGATATTGCAGAATTTAGGTCTAAATTTGTTGTCATCTCTTTCCATATATTCATTTTTTTATTTGGGCCCATGATACACTCTACGTGTTGGGATTATACTCATGCATTGACATACTTCCTAACAACTTAATGAACATAAATGAGCATAACTTTTAACGGGGTACCTATCACCTAGCAAATGGTCCCCATTAGGTCTGTACTTCCTTACTTGGTACAAGGAAGTAAATGGCATCTGGTAAATCTAATAAACTTCATTACACTTGTTTCATGAGTGGTTAAGGTTGGTCTCTGTAAAAGAGAACTGGATAGTTACTGCTGCAAACACATCTCTTTTCCATTGGTTTTAGATCAACCATCCTTGAAATGATAGCAATGCGGTATTCCCTCACATGGTGGTACTTGTGGCGTCTGCAAAAAGTACTGACCTGAGGAGGTAGGTAGGGGTAACACATCCTAAAAATAAGGCTTCACGTACACAGCTGCAAACCCAGCTGCTTGGTTGCCCGAAACCTAAAAATGTTTTGCCATCCTTTCCATTGTTTTACACCATATCTTTAGGGTCTACCTTACAATATTGCAAGTTGCTAGGATACCAAGTGTTTTTCTTCTGTAACACAAAGCTACAATCATATATTTCATCATCTTTCATAGTTCAATGAATAAAGTCACTTTCATAGCTAATCTCCATAATTGATGCAAAATCTAACTTTTCTATTCAAAATCAAGGATATAAAACTATGATTCCTTTTGAATGCCTGAGAATAACTTACCATTATTACCCATCCAAAGTGGCTGAAAATAAAGGTCATTTACACATCTTCTATGTCTATGTAGGATAAGGACAAGGTTTGGAATGTCCTTTTAATAAGTGAAAGAAAAACTTAGATCACGTTTATAGAAATATACTGCTGAGTTAAATGAACTTCAAAAGGCTGCATTATCAGGATTTCTACTTCATGAGAGAAACTAAAATTTCCTTTATGTATTCTGGGTTGCATACAAAAATACATCAAGTATTTGGTGTAAACATTGGATGTAAGAAAGAAAATATTTGAAAGATAATTTGTTCCTGCAACTGATATAGTTGATTCTTGTGTTTATTCTACCTCTATTGTGACTAAAAGGCAAAGTAGCAGATAATTAAGTCTAATTATCATTTTGCTGATGAATTAGCACTACCATCCCAAACTACTTGAAGACTAAGGAAAAAATAGTATTTTCTTCTGTTGAAGGAAAGAGGAGAAAGCGTTTTAATTTCGATGTCATTATCTTGTGTTTATTCTCTTCTTCCAAATTAGCAGCAATTCATGTAAGATGTCATTCTTTTGTCTTCTAAATTGATCTTACTTTTCCTGTTCCTCTATGTAAAGTACATGGAGACTAGTAGAGATTCAAAAAAAAGTGTAGGATCTTTTCTCTATTTTTTCTAAGTACCAAGAAAGTCATAATTTGAAAGAGGAAAAGAGGACCCATGTTTTGCATAGACATTATGGTTGGCAATATGCTGAATGAACCCAACATCACCCTACATTACCAAGACTCCTCCATGAACATTATGCAAAATCCTCTGAAGTCTCATAAAATGACTGCTCCTTTGTGGTGATATAAGCCTTGCTATGATTTGCACTTTGTTTTTCAAAATTTCTAATAATAACTGAGTCTTGTTACACCTCAGTCTACCACACTTTGGCCTCACTATTTCTCCACAGCCAGTACAAGAGCATGTGGCTAGAACAAATCACTTTGAATTACAGTGACACCACCTTCCTCAATAATTTTAATTCCCCCTTCTTGTTCACAGTTAAAAGATTCCAATAAATATGAACCAAATTCATAACAGGTAGCAGATCTACTAAATTTCACATGATTTCTAATTTCTCCTCCTCCCTTGGTGATTGTTTTACAGAGATTCCCCATCAAAGGATCTGGAATAATCAATTTTATCCCAAACAGAATGTGAAATTTAGAGAAAAACCAATTAGAGTTAATATGAATCTTCAAAGATGGATTAAAATACTAGAGCCCTCCTATTTTGCCACTTTGCCCAGTCTTGAGAAATAGAATGATGAAGGAAAAAAATAGATTAAAAGTCAGGTCTGGGTTTGGAATTTAGTTCTGCCTCTTGATAGCTCTATGTGTTTAAGCAGCTTTAATCCTTCTGCCCCTTTTTCTCATCTACAAAATGAGTATTCAAAGATAGTATCAGTAAGAGTCTTGCAAAACCTAATGTTTCACCAAATCATGTTTTTATTACTATTTCCAGCATAAGGCAACAAACATTAGATATCCCATTACATGCCTATTTTACTTTGTTATAACTTTTAACAGCTGGCAGTATGGTTTATAAAATCTCTCACCTATCTAATTCTTAAATCAAGTGACTAGATTCTGAATTAGTTGTTCAGTTCCTGGTCCTATCACTGATTTTTTTGTTTAATCTGATTTAGAATACCAATAGGTATCTATGACTTGTCTTTGTGATATTTATTCTTCTTCTTGGCATCTCACAAGCTCTGTTCATGAACATGATCTGGGAATGCAGAGGGTTCTTGTCCTCTGTGCCTAGGATTTGGCATACTCACTTGGGGAGGTGCTGATACAGTTACCCAGGAAGTGGACCAATGGGCTCAACTCCTTTTTTATATCCACCCTAAAGTTCAGGAGCCTCCATGTACTTCTCCCAGCCTGAGTAACACACTGATCCAGTTTGTGTGTTTTAATTAATTTAAATTAATTGTCAAGTTAATCCACTAAGAAAAAGTACCAAACTGGTTGTTTGATTAATAGAATCCTAGTAAATGTTGCTGGGCTTGGAGTCCCCTGAGGACTTCTGCCCATTCACTGTCACTATTGCTAGAGTCAGGTTCTTAGGCCAATTAAGAAAAGAAAGAAGAAGAAAAAAGCCTGTCGATGCTGCTTTCTAGTGCTTTTGTCAAATATGTCCTGAATCAGGGAATCCAGAATTAGAAAATATTATACCTTCATAAATATGCCCCCTCTTAATATTTAGAAATACTCTGAATTTTCCCCCCCAGAAAATTGTATTTTCTCTACTTGTGTATTTTCTTCTACCTCAATGTTGACAGTCTCCAAATGGTAAAGCGATGGGGGATGGGACAGCTACAAAATAAGTAAGAAATTACCAGACAATAATAGGGTGAAGCCTGAGGAGGGGACTGGACTTGGAGGGAGAAGGGGGCTCAATGAGAAAAAGAAGGGGACATCTGAAATACTTTAAACAATAAAACTTTTAAAAGTTTAAAAATTTTTTAAAGACATTACGAGATGCCTTCCTGCTGGTATTAGGAGCACCAGATTGGAGTTTGCTCAATGTTTGGAGCAGCTAAAGCTGAGTGTGAGGAAGGCCATAGTCAACTGACTGTGGCCAGAGATCTGAACAGAGAAATGCTTTCTCCCACCTTCCAACTTTGTAATAACCTGACTCCTCTACTTGTTAGGAAAGCAGCTCTTCTCTATCTTTAGAGACCAACTGCATAAGTATTAATTGGGGTGGGGGGAATAATTGCTGGAAAAGGGGTTACAAATGCAGAATGGAATTAAGCTAGGAAGAACCCTGTTGTACTGAATTGGAATTGAAGGCATCAGTATGAACTCATGGATATAGAAATAGATACAGTGCATGTTTATATAAATGTATGTTTGTATATTTATTTTAATTCCATTTGCTGAAAAGACCTAGAAACAAAGATATCCCAAACCTATTGCTTTGTCCTTGGATGCTAAATACGATTCTCCTTGTAAAAATGGCAGATTTCAGGAGTGTACCAGAGAAATTCAAATGAGCTTAGAACATCATATACCAGAAAATAAGAAACATATAAATGAGGACAAGAGGACACAAAGGCTAGCCTGCACAAATAAATATGGGATCATTGGAGCATAAACAATATTAATAGTTTATGACCCATAAAATAAAAATATTTAATAGTCCTTGCTTAATAAATAAAAAGGGAACACTCTTCCACATAGTGGGTTAAAAATCTGTGAAGAACAAATGTATATTTATGCAGTATCAGAATATCTTTCAATACATTTATTTTACTAATTACTAAAAGTTAATGGTAATTTCACTGTTAAGAAAAAGGAAAGGGAAAACTAGGGACCAGCTCTTTACCATGGAAACCAAGTAACATCACTAATAATGGTGCAAACCTATGTCATATGCCTCCTAAAATCCTAGCTAATAAAAGAATAATATGAAAATTAACCATCACTCCGCCATGCCCATCAGCCAATCAGAGCAAGTATGCAAATAAACCCAACCAAAATGG